TGTATAGACATCAACATGCACACCATATAAGTAATGCCTCAAAAGCATCATGGCATGAATAACTACAGCCAGCTCTAAACCATTAGTTGGGTAGTTATGCTTCTTTAGCTATCTAGAAGTGTACGCAATCATCTTACAATGTTGCAATTGAACACAACCAAACTCGATGCCCGAAGCATCACACAATACACTACATAGCCTTCCAAACCCTCTGGCAACATCATAACTTGCGCATAAGTTAATCTGTTGTTTATGAAACGACCCCAAAAAAATGCCCGAAAATGTGCTTCGGAAACACCTATAATTGTAATTTCCATATATCTCAAAATCCGTTTCGTTTTTCGAAAATCCGACTTCATATTCTTGTTTAGGGGGTCAAATTGAGTGGGAAATGGGTCTAACCCAAATTTTAGAGCAACCGTATCAAAATCCAAAATTTCCAAGTGAAGCCTTTTTCGAGGGTCTACTTTGGAGGGTCATATCTCCTAGCACACAAATTATTTGGTGGCCAATAATATATCCATGGAAAGCCCTTTGAGTTAGCTATCTAACGCACTTCGTTTCACCTTATTCGGAGTTCGGACGAAGAAGTTATGCCCATTTTCGTAAAGTCTGTCCGGCAGAAAATCCAAATTCCAGTAGCTGATTTTACTGTTCATCTACTGTTCACCCGCCTATTTTTTTTTCTAAGTGTTGGACCCTTTTTTTCAAAGGACTTATATTAATTCCTAGATACCATAATCCAATTCCCATCCCAAAAAAAAAAACATTTCCCTCTCTACAATCCTCCATTTAAGAAGAAGAAGAAGTGGGAGCTAGGGCTTTGGATTCAAGGCTTTCTTCATCAATTTTCGTGGGAGATCATAGCAAAGGTATGGGGGTCTTGATCCTTGTCTAATTTTCCATACAAGGAGCCAAATCCAAAGTTACTTCAAAATATGAAAAATCTAGGTTTTCACTCAATCTCATGGGTTCTTCCATCAAATGGTTTTAAAAGGTTTCTAATGGCACTTTATGGTTATATTGTTGTTGTATTGACGATTTAAGATGAAAATACTCCATGAACCCATGATTTCTCTCTATTCCTAGTTTATGCCTTTATGAAGTGGTTGCTAGATAATGAATGTATATGAATCAAACTTGTTTAAAGGTCTTTAGATTGTTGAAGTATGTCATTACCCATGCTTATTTTATGGTGTATTGTTGGTGTATTGGTATGTGAGGCTTATGGCCTTAAAGGCATAGTATGAGAAATTGGAGTGTTATCATGACATTATATGAATGAGAATCCAATGAAGATAATGTGATCATGTTATGAATGTAAAGGTGTTGTTGTAGGTTGTTCACTGTTTTGGTTGCATAATTACTACCCTAATTTCCATGCTCTTTGATTTCATTACATGCCTTCAAGGTGTTTGACAAAATGTCCAACTATGGAGAATTGATAAATTGATGTTTTAAAGCTTGAGTTATGAGATGTATGGAACTTCAAAGATGTGTTGATGACAAACTAAGCTTGTGTATATGTTCATTCCATACGTGAGATTGCATTAGAGCCTAATGAGAATTTCCTATATAAAGTGTTGCATGACCATGCCCGGTCCGGGGGAAAAGAACCGGACAACCATGTGAGAGGTTTATATCTCACCACCTAGGATGTTTGGGGTGTGACCAACATCAACCATGTGAGAGGTTTATATCTCACCACCTAGGATGCTTGGGGTGTGACCAACATCAACCATGTGAGGGGTTTATACCTTGCCACCAGGGTGTCCGGGTGTGAACGGCATCCCCCATCCTAAGTTGGGGTTATAGATTGGTTGGATCATGCATACACATATGATATCTACTATTAGTATAGATTTACTTAAACATGTTTTGACTTCACTTTGATCATGCATCCTCATATTGTTATTCATAATGCCTATGAAACTATTTCTTGTATTTCGATTGTGTCCTTGTTTATTGTTGTGTTGCACCCCGCATACTTAGTACATTCCAAGTACTAACGCATATTTTGCCTACATGATGTCACCATGTAGGGACCGGAGCTACTCTTGATCCTTCTCTCCATTCACGTGGCTAGTACGACGCTTATCCGAGTTTGTTGGTGAGTCCTCAATAATTCGAGGGCTATGTTATGTTTCTTACTCCTATGTTTTGAGACTTTAGCTTGCAATTGTATTTTAACTATGAGGGGAGCCGGTAATATGTCATGGCCCCCGTCCTATCTATGTATGTAGAGGTGTGAGTTGGACAAGTATTTTGTAAACGAGCTTGACTCTTATTCTATGATGTCATTTTGAAATGGTTTGCCTTAGTCCCTATTTCCCGTTAATTAATGTTGAATGTACTTCCGCGATTGATGAAGTGTGATGACAAGTTTGAGAGGCTTGTTTGGGGTTCCTTCGGGTTCCTCATTCGCCATGTCACGTCTAGGCGCTAGGCTTGGGTCGTGACAGTTTAGCTCTTGAAAGCTATGTTCACATGTTGTATTCCACTAAAACTTAGTTGGTTTCTAAGTTAACTTAGTCAACGGAGTTGAAGTTAAGACAATCCCTCCCTGAAGCTCCTATAATAACCTGCTAACCTCAACAAGCTATGAAACTATATTAAGGTCGTGAGTTTAAGCAAAGTCTTCATAGCTTCAATCTTCTACAAGTCAACATGTCTATCAGATACAATATGTCCTTAGACTAACATTTTGAGAGCTTTGCATACAACTTTTGACATACGAATATCTCAAGAATAGCTTAGAGATGGTCTTTATGCTTTGACTCTGATATCATTAAAAAACACAATCACAAACAAGTCTAAAAATAGACTAAATATGTTGTTCATCATGTCCATAAATATTGTTGGGGAATTTGTCAATCCGGAAGACATAACAATAAACTAAAAATGGCCATTTCGGGTCCTAAAGTCTATCTTTGGAATATCACTCTCTCAAACCTGCACCTGAAGGTACCCTGAATGTAAATCAATCTTTGAGAAACATTAGACACCTTGTAGCTGGTAAAAAAAGTCATCAATCCTTGGCAGTGGGTATTTATTCTTTAGTAACCTTATTGAGTTGTCAATAGTTTATACGCATGCACAATGGCCCATCTTTATTTCGTACAAACAATAAAGGTTAATCCCACAACGATGCACTCAGCTTGATGAAGCTTTTATCTAACAAGTGTTTTAGTTACTCCTTCCATTCCTTCAATTCTTTTGGTGTCATTCTATACAGAGAAATTCATATTGGTTGGATATTTGTAATGTATAAATAGAAAATTTAATCTCATGTTCCGGAGGAATACCAGGGAGATCATCTGTAAAGACATCAGGAAATTCATTAACCACCAGAACATATTTTAAGCTCGGTGGCTCTAGGACAACGTCGTGAACCCTAATAATATGATTAATGTAGCCTTTAGTAATCAATTTCCTTGCCTGAATATATGAAATTAAAATACCCTTTTGCATTGATAACTCTCAAATTAACCTCAAAACAAGTTCATAGAGTAGGCGGTCATCGTCAATAAAAATACCTAACTAAGAGTTGGGGTCGAATCCCATAGAGAAAAAAATTGTCTGCAATCCAAAACACAAAGGATAAACAACTACAAGTTTGAATCTTAAAACACAATGTACAAAATTATCAAATTGAAAGCAATTTTGGTAACTAAATAAAAGATTTAGGAAAAGGATAGCTGAGATGATGAGGTTGGTGGTGATGATGATGCTGAGGAGATAGATGAGAAGGAGTGTATGAGAGAGGATGAACAAAGGATAGTTGAGACCTTTATAGAGCTATATCAGATCGTTGAGTTTATAGTGCACATGATGATGGAGAGATTTCGTCTAGAGACTTCCACTATCTCCACTATTCCTCCCACATCCTACTATTTCAGTTTTGCTGGGTGCTAATGCCCGAGATGATACCATCCCCTCTGAACCTCAAGATTGGGGTACTTCACAGGCATAGCCTGTCATGGAGATATTTTTCTCATTTCTCCTCCCGTACTTACTTTTGATAGCATTGGGGACATTGCTAGGATTTTTTTTCGGTGGGGTTGAGGGCACATGTTCCTTTATTCCCCTTTTTTATTTTATTTTATTATTTAAGTTTTATTTTAAAATATCATAGTATTTTGGTTTTTATGGTAGTAGACGATTTTGATTTTATTTGGTCTCTCTACCCATTTCCTCATATTTTTGAGTTTTCAAATGTTTGAAAATGCTTTTGTTTTTATTGTTGATGTTCGAGGATCATGGTGTACATTATCTATGTCTTGAATAATACCCATGGTGAAAATGCATTTTTGTGATGGTGTTGCAAGAAGAAATGATGTGGCTTTATTATTGAATGATCTCTTTTATTATTATGTTAACTAGCTGCGTATTATTATTTTTATTCATGTGTTGCTTATATATATATAGTTCTTGTTTTGCTCTTATTATTATTGTTATTACTCAAATTGTGTCTTCTGCATCTGTGTTGGGTTTCGGCTTGTCCACTCATTGGTTGTAGTGGACGCCATCATGGTCTTATTTTTTGCCGTGACAAAAAACTTGATCATTTGAAGCAAAGATAACAATAGATTTTTCATAATTTATAAGATTTGATGGTATGAAAGGCTTAAAAATATTCAAGAATGAGAGGATAAAAATAATTAAAGTGGAATGAAAACGATAAATCTATGAAAAATAATATGGGTTCGTAATAATGTCAAAATACAAATAAGGTACCAAAATAGGCTGTGATGAAAAAAAGTATATTAAAATTAACTAAATAATATTCAAATTATTTTTTCAAATTACACAATATTTTCTATTTTTAATTATCACTTTTAAAAGTGAGAACGAGTCTGAGGGTCTACACAACTGGAAATTCATCTTGGACCTTATGATTTTCCAATTTTGATGCCTAACTTTTTGCTAGTAATGCCACTTATGTTATATGATATAAAAACATGATATAATTTTTGTGAGAAAAGGTAGAGGTAGCAGAGATGGAGGATGAAAGGCGAGGAAATTGTCCAGAAAGTAGTACCATGGCGACCTCAACATCATTATCTACAATGTCAATCATTCCAAATAATAATAATAATAATAATAATAATAATAATAAAGAACAAGATCGGTTCCTTCCTATAGCTAATGTGGGTCGAATCATGAAGAAGGTAATCCCAGGAAATGGAAAGATCTCCAAAGATGCAAAAGAAACGGTTCAAGAGTGTGTATCAGAATTTATAAGCTTTGTTACTGGAGAAGCATCTGATAAATGCCAGCGTGAGAAGAGAAAGACAATCAATGGTGATGACATTATATGGGCCATCACAATTCTCGGATTTGAAGATTACGTTCTCCCTCTTAAACAATATCTTAACAAATATAGAGAATTAGAAGGTGAAAAGCTAAATGTTCCAAAGCAGAACCAACCACAACAACATGATCAGAATCCAACTTTTTCATACAACAGTGTATATTCTCCTACAGGCCTTCTTCCCCAAACTTCATTTGTTCCAACAGATCAACCTTTTCCTTTGCCTTTTTCCCCCAACTCAATTCAGTCACAATTACCTAAACAGGAACACGTTGATTCTTTGGGACACTGGTAATAATATATAACAAGAAAAATAAATATTTTTTCCCTTTAATTTTATTATATATTTTTAATGATGTAATGTAATATATAGTACTAAACAAAAGATTATACAAATATGAGTCACAAGTGAGTGTCCACTTATTTGTTACTATAGTATATACCAAACATAGCATGGTTAGAAGAGTATTGAAATTCTTTCTATCCACGTGTTTATACATAAAATATCATATTTTTTATTATGGGGGGTGGGGGTTGTTAAATTCTATTTGTTTTACGTAAGAAATAATATTCGTCTGACATACTTCATTAGACCAACTTTTACCATTACTTTTTTATGTTTGTTTTTATTTTTTCTAGTTTCCTATGTGTATACATAGTACTCAAGAAAATGCATCTACATATTATTTATTAGAACTATAGTGATTTGATTATCTCAAAAGGGATTTTCAAATTACTTCCTTCCCCTATCTAGTATTAGTGATCACACTTTTTTTATATAACTATATTAAGAAATGATAAGTAAAAGGTATTCTTCATTATTTGTTCCTTAACATTCTTCAATAAATTAGACTTCATTTAAGAATAACAATACCTATCTTATTTACGTTAATATAAGAAAAAATGATTAATTTTTATCTTGATTTTGTAAATTAAAAAATATTAGGACGAATATTTTTCGTAAAGATAACAAATAATATAAGATCAAAAGAATAATAATACTTTCTAAAAGTATGTAAATTCATTATCGTTACATCAAATTTAATTTTATTCTATTTCATACCCCGCTTCATCCTAAAATAAGTGTCTTTTAGTTTATTTCAAGTAAATTTTGAAATAATAATCAATATTAATGAACCTCGAGGTCATTTTTCTATTTTTGTATGCTTTTAATGTTTTTCTCTTTTCCGTAGCTTCTTTAAAGCTTTTGTAGGGTGATGGATTGGATGGCACGCTTACCGAAGTGATTTGTTAGTTTATTTCAAGTACATTTAGAAATAATAATCAATATTAATGAACCTCGAGGTCATTTTTCTATTTTATATGCTTTTAATGTTTCTCTCTTTTCTGTAGCTTCTTTAAAGCTTTTTGTAGGGTGATAGATTGGATGGCATGCTTCCCGAGGTGATCGGGTGATTTTGACTTCTTTTTTCCATTTCGGACACTTTTGGCATGAAAGAGTTGACTTAAGTCAAAAGGTAGCATCCAATTATGATTGACTTGTATTTGTTTGATGATATTATGATGAATTCATGTGATTTCTATGATGAACCCTAATCTAAATTGATGAATGTGATCGTTGTGGGTTTATGCCATTAGAGGCAAAGTTGAAGGTTCATATGTGATCTTCCTAATTCAATGTTGTGTGTTGTAATTGATCAATGTTAGGATCATATAATCATGAATTGAACTAGACTCTATTGTATATGGTTGATCTTGACTTGTAAAGTTAGAATTGAACCTTTATGATCAATTAAGATTAGAATCACCTAGTAATGAAATATGTGATCAAATTACCTTGAAATCTAGGTATAAAGAAGGGATTAAGAAAGAAACCTTGAGAGTATGGTTGTGATCCTAATATCTAGGGCTTTAGGGTGAAGCTAATGTGATTACCTAGTGTTGCTAAGGCTTTGAGAGTAAAGTCTAAAAGAGAATTAGAAGTCTAATATGCTGAATTGTGGTGAAAGGCCTATACTCACCTAGTCTATATTATGAATTCTTGAAAGATGAAAGTGATAGAATCACTTGAACATAGATTGGTTGTCAAGGACATCCTTCCATAAGTTGTAAGTGTTAAGCAAGGCGTAGCAAGTAAACCTTGGGGTGTATGGTTGGCTCCAAGTGGATATTGACAATGAGATGGAGTGTCACACAAGATAGGGTCCGGCCTCCAAGAAGAAAGGAGAGCCACACCTAGTTGATGTGAGGACTATCCAAGAAAAAGGGGGAACTCTTAAGTAGTAGAGTGTGGGTTTTCCCAAAGTTAGGTCTCATGGGATGTGAACCTTCACATAGTTGAGTTAAGGTTCTTAGTAGCAATCTCCGTATCATATGAACTAAGACATGCTTGAGAAGTATCTCATAGTGTTCTAAAGCATAATTGAACTAAGACTTACTTAATGAAGCACCTCATAGTGTTCAAGAGTAATAGTGGACTTAGACATGCTTAAGGTAGTATATCATAGGGTTCATGTGAAGAAGGAACTTAGACATGCTTAAAGTAGTATCTCATAGGGTTCAACCTAATAATGAACTAAGATGTGCTAAGAGAGTACCTCATATTGTTCTAAAATTAAAGAGAGGAACCAGGTTCCAAACAAAGAAGAGTTAGAATGAGGACCTAAAGGTAGTACTTAAAATGTATAGTATTATGGGGTGCTATGCATGCATTGCACAAGTACGACTTGGGGTCACTAAAGAGAAGTCTTGAGTTGGGATTAGGCTAGAGTTGCCTTTTCTAGTTATAGTTGACTAAAGGTGAGAGATTCCCTTAGTTATGAGAGTTGAGCTAATAATGAGGCCAAAGTAGGGTGAATATGACTAGGATGACTTCAAGGCTATGCTTAGTGTGAAGGGTAGCATGGGATGCCTTTCATGAATTGCACGAGTGTGTCTTGAAGTTACTTAGAAGTATGGTGCCCTTATGGCATAGAGAAGCTTAGAGAGTTGACCATGTATATAGGTTAAGGTTTAAATGACATGAAGACCTAAGTCTTGAATGTGAAGGTGGACTATGCCCAAGAATGACCAAAGAGAGGTACTTAGCTTGCATGGTAGTATGTGATGCTATCCGAGCATTGCACAAGTATACTTGGAGGTGGCTTGTGAAGTAGTTCTCTTGTAACATGAAGGACATAAGGTTGAAGTATGTAACCATGGAAATCTAAGTAAAGACTAGGCCATGAACATGATGTATCTCCTATGCTCATTAAATATATCTTATGTGACTTGTGTTTATATGATGCTTATATTGGAGACCACGCTATGACTATGATGATTATATTGTGATTATGTTATTGTCTCTTATGCTTATGTATTATGTTGACTAACCATTTGAGATGCTCTTATGATGTTGTGTTAGCTTTCATACTTAGTACATTTTGTACTAATGCATATTGCCTATATTCTAACCAAATGTAGGGTTGGAGGCTTGAGTTGCTTTGGAGGCTAGAGTTTCAAAGATTTAGAAGAATTGAAGAATTGGTGAGTCCTCATAGTTTCGAGGACGAACCCTTTATTTCCTGATGTCATTTCTTTATGTTTTTAGACTTTGTATGGGTTGCGTCCCAAAGACTTTTATTCATGAGTTTAAACAGATGGTTTGAGACAAAGGTTCTAGTACAGACTTCCGCTTGATTTTATGAATAGGACTTCGATTGTAAAAGTTTTCAATTTTCCCATATTTTCTATTATCTTATGTTAAGAATATGCTAAGGGCTTGTATGCGACCCCTTCGGGTTCAACTACGCCATGTTGCAACTAGGGGGTGCTCTCGGGTCGTGACAAAAGCACATTTCAAGTCTCAAAAACTTTTTCATAAAAGAAAGCGGAAGTCTAGACACTTTGTCTCATCATAGCCATATATTACAATAGTGAATGAAATAGGGCCTAACCCTTACAACATGTCCAAAAGGGAAAGTACACGAAAGAAACTAAATATATGAAATTCATCCTCGAACCATGAGGACTCACCAAGCTCAGAAACAATCAAATCCAAGCTCTAGCCACAAGTATGATCACCTCTAGTGCCGGACCCTACACTTGGGAAAAATGTAGGCAACAATAGGTGTTAGTATAAACATGCACTAAGTATTGTAGCCATGCATAAAAACACTTGAAACATGCAAAAAGGGACATTTCATTTGAAAGCATGCAATTTACCAAGTGTAAACATCATCATAGAGATAGTTGGAAAACATAAGTCATAACATCATCTTCAATGCAAACTAGCAACATCTTTAAAGCCTTTGAACACTTACGGTATACTTCTTCAAGCATGCCTTAGTTCATTATTAAACTTCTTGTTATTGTGGTAAATAAGCCTTAATCGACATGAGACCATGTGAGCTTTAAAATGGAATCTGGTGATTCCCACACCGAAAAGGGTTGGTCTACTTTCCTAAGGTAGAACCAATAATTTTAGCTTAGGTGGATTTACTAGATAGATATCCTATGGGGGAAGGTAGTTTATGGGATAAGGAGATTGTTACTAGAAATCTGAATTATCTACGGGAGAGCTTCTATCTCAAGAGATTGCTTCTAGAAACCCGGCCTTACTACGGGAGAGCTTCTATCTCAAGAGATTGCTTCTAGAAACCCGGCCTTACTACGGGAGAGCTTCCATCTCATACAATATCCACTCGGTGCTAAGAATTAATTTCCCACGGAGTAGTTAATTCTTTATTAACATCATTACTCATGAAAGGGTGCCCTTGCCTACCAATTCAAGGTTCATCATTAGAATATCTCTTTTTAGTTACTCATGAAAGGGTGCCCTTGGCCTACCGATTCAAGGTACATCATTAACTCAACTCTTTTAGACCATGCGTGAGCAACTATCACCATCCATGATCTATTTATGATGGCTCTTTAGCCTTTGATTCAATTAAGTGAGAAAGCCTTTCAACCTTAGAATCTTCATTATGTGAGAAAACCTTTCACATTATGTTCATTATGAATTCATCAGAATAACCTTTCAATCAGCCTACAACAACAACATAATCATTAACACTTCACTCTCAAAGTGTTCTTAAAGCATTTACATAAACTTCATAAAACATGCATAATCTCATACTTTACCTCCTTGAGGTTCAAAACTTACTTTCAATAAACACATCTAGAATTCAAGAATTAGGCATGGATATCATTATAATTCATGTGATTCTATCACCTAATGCATTAATTCATAACATTCCTCTTTCATCAACAAAGACCCACATCATATCATCAACTTTGAGAAATATGGGAATTTCATGGGTTCTTGGGGATGATACATCATAAAACTCATAGGAA